CATCTTTAAAAGACAATTCCGTGCCGAGACAAGAACTTGTTTCCGAAGCTAATGTGCACATTGACAGACAGAGGCAGAATGTGGTAGGCAGGGGGAAGATGGCACCAAATTTGTCTGACAGGCATCTGGAGCTTGGTGGACAGGTGTAAAGGAAAGAGCTCTTCTTCCTGGAGGATGGCAGAGGTGTCCACACCACAAGACCCTGCCAGCCTGGTCTGAGGCTGCCACCTGCTCAGTGCCATCTCCAGGTGCAAAGGAATGGCAAACAATGTAGAAAGACCTTTTCTACCCTACCAGGGTAGGTGCCATATTTGCTTCAGTTTCAGTCAATATCTTTGTTTTGGTTAAAAAGTCCAATGTCTGTCTGTAGCTGATGAATTAAAAATTAATACCTGACATGTGATGTCTTTGTAACAATAGTAAGAGAGAAAATCATATTGAAATAATTCAGGAAAAAACTAAAGATTCATTTTTTTTCTGGACCATTTACATGGCCTTTAGAGTCTCAACTTCAAAACAACATGCTGGAAAGATACAGCACAGAAGGAAACAGTTTGGTCCGTTATGGTTTTTGTGGAAACTTTGGAAGAGCTATTCAATGTGACCTATCCCAGCTTTTTTTTCCTATAGCTCTGTAAATAATTGCAACATAATTAATGATTTTGCGTAGCTTTAGAAAACATATTCCATTTAAAACGCTATAACTCTGTATTTTGTTAATAGCTTTATCAATTAGTCCTTATAGTTTTAAGGCTAGTCTCAACTATACCGTCAGAGCCTTCCCATATTGTCAAGCAAGATTCATGGAGCTCAGCATGCTATGGCTCAGAATGACTTTTCTCCCACAACTTTCCACAATTCACCTTCTTAGTTATACAGCCAGGTTCTTGGGTGCCTTTCTCAGAGAATGAAACCACTGCTGGAACCTTCTGGTTCTCACATCATATTAGAACCCAGCTGCACACACCATATCATTCACAGCAAGCAAGGAATGGTGTTCGAGCCCCAACGTGTGCTTGATATACTTCTAAACATAAAACTTGATCCAGGAATATGATTTTCTATTATCATTTTGTCTGTATTTGTCCAACTAATGACCTAAGGACCACAGTAAGTTTTGGAACTCCAGATCAAAAGTGTCTAACATAAGTCCCCTTGCATTATCTACTGAATGATTAAATGAAATAAAATGAAAAAGCTTTCATATAAATTGATATGTTCTATGCTTTATTTGTAAAATTTCTTATCCACGTGTAACATTCCTTTAAGTTACACATTCATACATCTTGATTAAGTAATACTAGCATTTAGGATTTCGTGGCATTTTTCTTTGTAAAATGTAATAAATGGAGCTTTGCGTGGAAAGCACAGTGCTTTATAATGTTTGAGAGAAATAATGTTGAAAGAATGATTTTACAAATCTTGCTCAAATACTTCATATACTAGCATTTGCACAAGACTGTGGAAACCAACCAGCAAGTTGAGTAATATGGATGGTAATGCTAAACTAGTACCTAGGCATTTATCCTTTATTATACTAGAAAGTTATCGCTTGAATTGATAATCTCCCTCAGGAGACAAAATAAATTAGCATGAGTCCATGACTATGTAAATTGCTACAGTCAGCTGAAAAAAAGGCTCTTGAGCAAAATAAGTCTTTCTTTATCATCATTGCTCTAAATTCCAGATCACACGTTTTTCACCTTCTGGTGTTAAAGGGGCAAGTTAAATTTCATCTGATTCAATTCATGCTTGAAATTTAATTTGTATCCAAGCCCTTTGTTTATAGTGGAAGATCCATTATCAAATTCTGACTCCAATCCTGAACTTGAGAAATGTTATTAGCATTAACAACCAGCTAGGATTTTAGCAAAACTCTTGAAGGCAGGATTATCTCTTGCCAAAAAAATCAGTAATATCGAAGGTAATATCAATATATGTGTTAGATTACTTTATTTATTTAACATTGAATTGAAAGAGAAGCTTATTTGGAAAAGATAAAAGCAAATATTTAAAATGCTCAGGAAGAAAATGATTGACTATAATAATCAGTTTTAAGTGGGTTTAGATGAATTACCACAGCAAGACCTTTATGTTACCTCTGATTGTCATATTTGAAGTGAATATTTTGTAAAGAAAATTCAATAGGACCAGAACAAAAACAGAAATTGCTGGCAAAGCTCAGCAGGTCTTCATCTGACAAAGAGTCACCAGACTCGAAACGTTGACACTGCTTTCCCTCAAAGATGCAGGTAGACCTGCTGACCTTTGTCAGTAATTTCTGTTTTTGTTTCAGATTTCCAGCATTCGCAGTTCTTTATTTTATATCAATAGTTCTATCTACCTCCTTCCATCAGATCTGATAGTATTGGTAACTACTGTGGAGACTACTTTCATCTTCACAACGAGGATTACACTGTGCTGAAAAGGATACAATCAGAAAAGTTTTAGAAGCTGAGCACCCATAAAGTGCCTTGTGCCATCAGCAGCAGCAGAAGTGTATTCCACCACAAACAATAACCTCATAGCCTGGCATATCACTGACTCTAAAATTAGCATTATGCCAGGGGATAAACCCTGCTTCACTGAAGAGCATAGAAAATCATGCCATGGGTAGCAGTAGGTTACCTAATATTGCGGTGTCAATCTGGTGAAGCTACAATATCGGATTGACACAGGCTAATTGGGGGAATAAGGATGCTACTGATAGAAGCAAGTGATCCCACAACCAACAGAAAGGTCAAGACAAATCTTTAAGTCTTGCTACAATTGTGAATGGTGGTGGACAATGAAACAAATTATGACAAGTGATCTCATGAGCATCTCAATGTTGTCAAGGGACAGCATTTGAGTACAAGAGAACTGAAAACATTTGTAACTAACTTCAACCAGATACAGTGAATGGATTATCCATGTCAGCCTCCTTATGAATGTCCATGATCACGGACGACACTATTCAAAAATTCAATTCACTACACATGGTGTCACGAAACAACTACATGTACTGAATATAGTGAAGTTCTTGGGGTCTGACAGGATTGTACTTAGGATGCTGAAGACTTTCAGAAACAGCAGGATACCCAGCCAATCTATTCAAGTGCAGCCACACATTGATAACAATCCAACAAACGGGAATATGACGTAGGTATGTTCTTGACGTACAAGACAGGACACGTCCAATCTGGTCAATTATCACCCCATCTGCCTACTCTCAATCATCAGTAATGTAATGGAAAGGTGCCTAGGCTCAACCATTTTCAACTGTTTCAACAATGACCTTCCCTCCACTATATGAAGTGGGGAGAATTGCTGATTGCATAGTTTTTAATTCTATTCACAACTCCTCAGAAAAGGAAGCAATTCGTACCTACATGCAGCAAGGCCTGGACAATAGTCAGGTTTGGGCTGATAACTGGCAATTAACATTTTCGCCATACAAATGCCAGGCAATGACCACTTCCAACAAGAAAGAGTTTGAACCATCTCCCTACTTAACAACAGTGTCATTGCAAAATCATCCAGCATCAATGTCCTGGGAATCTCCGTCGATAATCAGAACTAGCCTCATAAATACTGTCTCTATGAAAGTAGGTCTGGGAATTCTGCAGCAAGTATTTCATCTCCTGATTTCTCAAGGTCTGTTCACATCTACAGGGCTCAAATCAGGCATGAAATGAATATTGTCCATTTGTCTGGATGAGTGGAGTCGCAACAACACTCACAAACCTCAAAGTCATCCAAGACCAAGCAATCGACTTTATTATCACAACGTATCAAAATGGATTATGCCAGTGGCCAAGAACAGATTCACATCTGTGAGCATTTCAACAACTCACTGACTATTTCAAATGTACTAAGAATTAGAACTCCAAATCTTAATTACACCACAGAAAAACTAAAAAAGTGAATTATGACTGAATAAAATAAATTATGGATCTAAGGACGTAATTTTCACTCTTCAGGACATGTGAGGATGTTACTGGTAATTAAGGAGACTCAATGTAACCATTTTTATTGCAATGCCTGCAGCCTGGTTGTTGTAACTCTCTGGGAAGCCTGACAGTCAAAGGCAAAAGGCTTGTTGGGAAACATTCACAACACTGCCTGTAGCCCAGGAGAAGCAGGAATGTTCCACCAAGTTTACATTCAGGTGATTAGCTGACTCCATCCCACTGGCCTCTAGATTGTTCAAATCCCTTTCCCAAGGTATCTGAATTACTTCTGCTCCATATCCTGGCTGTCACCCTGTGCAACTCTTAGTCTGGCTGGCTACAGCAGGGAAACTTCTTGGACAATTAAAGCAGGTCCTGCCTTTAATTTTGTCTGAAGGGCCTGAAGAAAACCACACTCTTCTGGGTTTACAAGTTGCAAGTGGTCCTTCAACAACCCACCACCTCACCATCCCTGGTCCCCACTTCTCCCTTTTCACTTTGTAATTATTATCCCTGTGTAAGTATCAAAAAACATTTATATCTAAAACCATGCAATTAAATGACCAAAACATTGAAGTTAATACCTCGTGGTAAAGAGCATGCAGGGTGCATTACTAACTTCAGTATTTCCACAATCAATAGCAGCAATTTGAATATCTTCATGATAAGAAATTATTCTGTGTAAATGAAAAGTGCACCACCTATTAATTTAAACCAAATACCTCCAATTTCATTACAAGTTTAATCTGCTTAGCTTATAACAATGAAATCAGCCTTGGAGGCTAATGCTGCTTATGTTGGCAACTTTTGTTAAGAAGTTGAAGAGCTTTTTTTGTCCTTTTCCTTAAATGTTAGTCCTTCCCAGTTTATCAAAGCACATTTCTCTATTATACCACCCTGTCCTCAAAAGTATTGAGCACCACCAATATTGAGTTAACTCATACTATTGAATTGCTTAATTTTTTTTTCTTAGTAAAACATATAACCTTACACAATAAAAGAAGATTGGCTACTCTTGAGTTGCATTCAGGTTTTCACCAAAACAAGAAGGAAGAAGATTTAGGCTTATGTATTTAGAGGTTATGTTGAAGTATTATGTATTTTGATGTTGGTTAAGTACACTCTTGTGAAAACTCATTTATAATTCAAAAGAGTTGCAGTGCAGTATGATACAGAAAACAATTCTACAAAGTTCACAAATGCTATTAATAGATAATGTTGACAAATCATAGTTTTCTCGTTTAGTTTCATGTTATGGTTAGATAAGTTTATACACATCTCCATTTAGGTTGTACTGTTTCATTACTGAACTTTAATAGCACAAACCAGTCCTTCCCATAAAAGGAATAATTTCTTTATCACCCTTATAATGCATTACATATTCAGTGAAGATATATTTTATTTAAATAAACTTTATATACAATATGTGCTGCAAGAAAGAAAAATCTACAGGTTCAATGATGGTTTCATGCATTGGCTGTCTTTGAATATAAAATGAGGGTCTTTAGAACATGGAGAATGTTGCATTTCCACGCCAATGGATGTTAAAATGTGGCTCCCGTTAAATAAAATCTTTATTTTCAATCACCACATGGAAGGCTCATCATACCTGAAATAGAAACAAAATATGAGTAAGTGCAACTGCTAACATTTCTAATATGAAATCAAGGACATATTTAACATTCAAAGGATTTTATTCTGACTGCTGGTCTTATTTTCTTGTCTTTCACAAATAAAAGACTCAGCTGGAGGTATTTATTCAGGTGACAACTTGGTACCACTTCTACTCTATTTGACTCAGTACCACACTTATCCAGACAAATGTTTGCATCACCAATTTAGTTAATAATTTCTTTAGTGAAGGGCAAATGAACTTCAATTTTTAGATGAAAACTTCGTTAAATGCACGGCATTATAATAAGGTGATCTCTACTGAATTGCAGAGCAGGCTTAAAAGGCAAAGTGATAATTTTTTGCTTCTATCTCTTATGTCCTTGTTGCACTTTCAATTCTAAACTAATTACAGGATCATTTGTAAAACTAAACACAATGGTGGTTACTGCAATGTTCGATTTGTAAAAAATCTTTTGAGGCTTTTCATCTTTTCCTTTCATGCTAGAAAAGTGTCATTGATGCACCACTTAATCTGTTCAGTTCCAACATCACTCACCACTACCACCCCACCCTAACCTCCCGCCAGCACCCCAACCTCAAACTTGAGGCTCAACAGTTGGATCATACTCTGGTAGAATAGAATTTAATCTGAACTTCTGGTCATGTATCAAATTCAAAGTATAATTTGACCCACTTAAGCAAAACATCTACCATTCTTGATACCGTTCTTATTGTTACTTTGAGTTTTGCTTAATAGTTAGAACATCATACCAGTTAGAACATCAAACATAAATTTAAATCTCTTTTTCCAGCAACCAACTAAGCTTTGGTGTTAATTTTCTTGCACATTCCTTTTACTTTAAAATCCATGTACCAATGGAAACGTAACAAATCATTAATAAAAAGTTCTCTGGACTGATCATTACCCTGGGCTTCAGAAATTGCTGTTAGATATTTGCATGTAGTGGCTGTAATGTAAAAAAACAACTGAACCTCTGATGGAATTTCTCATCAATTCTTAGATGATTGAAAATACCATTATTTAAATATGTGCCTTCAACCTAGACTAAACTAATTAAATTTAATGATGCTGCAGAAGTCAATTAATGCATGCCACCCCCATCTATCAAATTGCGCATCTGGTGCTGTCACTGGTGAATTGCTTTAAACTGTACACTGCTATCATGAAAAGCTGTGGTGTTACATAAAAAACTCTTGCCATGTATATTTACCTGTATTTAGGAAAACTTTCTGAGTTGTCCCTCAGCAGCAGATCAGTGATCAGAGCCTCAGGGCTAGATCTCTTTCCATACCTGTTGTAAACAAATAACCAAAACATTAAGCAATTACCATGTTTGTTCAGTTCATTCATTCTGCAAATATTTAAATATACTTCTTTTTTAAAGAAGTGGACCACGCATGTCAAGCAAATTCTGATATACAAACACTACATTAGAAAGTACTTCTGAATCATACGATCACATCTCATGTTTTCTTTAGATTGCAAACATGCTAATAATCATGTTTCCTTCATGCTTTTTAATATGGTGGTGATAGACACAGCTTCCCTAAAAGCTGCTTCAACTGTGAGCTTTTATAACATTCATTCAGTTTAAGAAAAGCACGATTAAATGAACCAAAGTCAGAAATAAAAACAAATAGTGCACAGGAAGTCAATCAGAATTCGAAAGTTAGATATTTCCCGTACAACACTACACCAGAACTGGCTAGGAATTATCCATTTCATGAATTGGTCCATGGTCAAGAAGTGCCTCACCTGAAACATCACCTTTTTTTTCTATAAATGGTGAAAAGCTAGGAAAAGTGGATGTTAAAATAATTTAGGAATATATATTTTACTGGCCAGATGTAAAACGAAACAAAAAGGCTAAAATAATGTTAGCCATGTATTTACACAGTTAGAATATGAAGGGGACGAAAGGGGAGGAAATTGAGTTCCAGGTATACAAACCCCTGGTTACATCACATTTAGGATGCTGTGTACAACTCTGGACATCAAGAGAAGATACACTGATATTAGAAAGATCTCAGTACAGACTCACTGGACTATTATCTGCTCTGTAAAATACATAGACTTTCAAGCACAAAAAGGTGACTTAGTCCAAATGTTCCATGCCAGTGTCTGTGTTCCGTTCTTGCCTTTTCTTGTTTTTCCTCATCTAACTATCAATATAACCTTGTATTTACATTTATGGAGAAGACAGGTATGTACTCATAGCATTTCCCTCAACTACTCCTGGTAAGAATAAGTTCCAAATGCTCACCGAGTACATCCTGGGTACTGTTTGTTCTGAATTTCCTATTTGATTTATCAGTGATGAACTTCTAAAATGGCCTCTAGTTTATCTCTGTACTCTAAACGAAAATGTTTTCTATGTGTCTTATCTATCAGTACAGTCGCCCCTCACCTTCTCTTTTGAAGAAAACAGTGACCCAGCCTGTCTATTCTTTAATGATTGATATAACTTTGCTTTCTGGTGTCATCCTTGTAAACCATTTTGCAAAATCTCCAGCACTCACCATTATTACATTTGAGATTGTTTTATTAAATAAATTTAAGTTACATAAACAGGTTTTTATTCCCTGGAATTTGGGTTGATTAGGTTTTGGGGATTTTGAAAGGAAATTATTTGGTAGATAGATTTTTCTTCTCCCCTCTAATGTAGTTTGCATCAAAGAATGTAATCTTTAAATCAGAGCCAGGCCATTCGGGAAAGATGTTAGGAAATACTTCTTCATCCAAAGGAAAATATGAAACTCTGTCCCACAAAGAACAGCAGATTTTAGCTTAATTAATAGTTTGAAACATGAGCTTGATAGATTTTTGCTAGCTAAACATATTAAGGGATATGGTGCCAAGAAAAGTGCTTGGAATTAGGATTCATGTCAGCTGTCATTTCAAGGAAAGTTAGAACTGACTTGATAAGCTTAATAGTGTACGCCAGTTTTCTACCTTGCATCCAGATTGTCGGAAAAAAGCTGAAAATTTATAAGAAGCTGATATTAAATTATAACTGCAGTTTCTCAACACTATTCATTATCTGCCCCAGGTCTGGTTTATTCAGATTCAACAAAGTCAAAGAACTAAAGTTGTACACATCTAAAAGGGCTTTATCAAAGTAAGTGTCTCAGGCAATGAAAACTTTATTATGTAGTATCAAGGATTCAGATCTATGTTTGTTTTATATGTGGCATCTACTTTATATTAGCTTCAATCACATATTAGGAGGGCCCCATTTCTGCAAATGGCAGCACTAGGTGTGTGCATGCACGTGAATGCACATATTTCACCTTTGTGACTCCAATATCTTTTTCAGGCAAGGATTTCACTTTTGGATGCATACTGCTTTGCTGAATTGCATTCTGCCTCAAGCTATTAAAAAGTGTAAACAGTATGTTGCAAAAACATGGAAAGGATGTACATGTCTTCCTCATTGTCTAAAGTTCTCAAAACCGTTGAGGGCTGTAGATCAGAGATCTGTATTGACATTACTGCTGTTTCTAATTCATAACAATTACTTGGATTCAAAACTAAATACAAATTAGTCATGGAGTCTAGGACACCAAGGGAATCAAAAGAAGATAACTCAAAATATCAGAAGGAGTTAGAGAAAATATATATACATGTGACTTGGACAATGGCAGCTTACATTTGAAAAGTAAAATACTGAACATGAGTTGGGAGAGAAGTTGACAGTGACACATATTCCACAAATAGGGTTAAAAATTTATGGGTGAAATTAATATAGATCTCATGTGATGGTAGACTCGCTGCAAGGTAAAATTGGTTGATGTCAGTAGCACAAAATAGAAAAGAAAATTGACATTGTGTAAGCAAGCTGTTAATTCATTATTAGCCCATTTTGCACTATTACTGTTGACTGATTTCACCCTCAACATACACAACCACTGAAAAGAGTGACAAATATTGAATACCACAAGAACAATAGAAAATGAATTAGACAAGGCCATAATCACACTGTACAGTGCTCAGGTCAAACCACATCTTGACTCCCAGTTCTGATGAAAAGTTTTCAATCCAAAACCTTAACATTTGTTTGCTGGTCTATGGTGCTGCCTGACTGGCTGAGGTCTCTAGCATTTTTGGTTTTATTCCAACACTGTTGGGTCCAGTTCTGTTCAATGAAACACGGAGACAAGTGAATGCTGGAGGCAATGCAAAACACAGGCACAAAGCTGATCCCTAGTGCCGAAGGTCAGGTATCCTGAAAGCAGATGTGTTAGGGATAATCTAATGGGAAAGATAGAGCTAGATTTTTAAAACAAATTAATTGTGAATGCAGAACAATTGGATGCAGGTTTAAGCTAGTGAAAGGACTGATATTCAAAAACATTTATTTCCACAGGTGATCAAGACATTGAATGGGCATTCAGATACTCAGGGATGAAAACCATAGAATCATTTCATAATTGAATGCTATGTGGAGAGCCTGTAGTGTCATTAAAACCTCATACATGTTATTATCTTGTAATGTATTTCTTTCAGGACAGAAAGAAGCAACACCTACGTCTTAACATAAAGAACATTTAGCACATTCTCCCCAGAAAAATGATAAATCAGTTAAGTTCAAAATGACAATGTGATACATTGAAAATGCTTGGCATATTCAGAACAGCACTTGGGCAGTTGGAAACTTTTCAAATTGATTACACTTTCACTGCTGGTGATGTGGGCTTTGGTTCTTGTCGGTTATGTTATACTGTCAGCTGATGGTAAGATCACTGGTGGAACCTGTCTCCTTGTTTTTCTCGTTGCATATCTCTCAGAATTATATTGAGTAAATAACAAGTCATTTCCAATTAGTGAGCCAAGCGATTTGTGGATAGCAAAGGTCAAGGCAAGTTAATTTAAATACTTTTTGCACTAAACCACAGGTAACTGGAATTCTAAGTTATGTAAGCAATTTCAATAGTTGAAAATCACTAATGGAGAGATAGTAGGAACTGCCAATGCTGGAGAATCTGAGATAACAAGGTGTAGAGCTGGATGAACACAGCAGGCCAAGCAGCATCGGAGGAGCAGGAAAGCTGACGTTTCGGGTCTGGATCCTTCTTCACAAAATCCATTTTCTGAAGAAGGGTCCAGATCTGAAAAGTCAGCCTTCCTGCTCCTCCGATGCTGCTTGGCCTGCTGTGTTCATCCAGCTCTACACCTTGTAATCACTAAAGCAGCTTGTTTTTGCTAGAGTATTAATAATTATTTTAAAAGAGCCTGTTCATGACTTCAGCAGGGCATTATACTATGTGTTGTTAGTTTCTTAAAGCAAACATTAGTGGAAATGATGAACTAGCCAATGGACAATAAACAAGTGAAGTGGGATCACAATTTTATTCCCTGGGAATAATCCACATTGTGATTTCCTATTTATTTTGTAACTAAGAAAAAACACTATCCATATTTTCTCTTCTTTTAGGAAAGGAACAAAGAGATTTAAGGGTTACAGTCAGAGATTTGAGCACAGAAAGAGGTCCTTTGGCCCATCTTGTCCATGCCAATCATCAAGCACCAATCTATTCTAACTCCATTTTACACTATGTGGCCTGCAGCCTTGTATGCTATGGCATTTCAAGTATTCATCTAAATACTTCTTAAATATTATGATGGTTCCTGTCTCTAACATCTTTTCAGACAGTGAGATATGAATACCAATCAAGCTCTGGGTGAAAAAACCTTTCCTCAAATCCCTTCTAAATCCACTATCTCTTACCTTAAAGCTATGCTTCTGCTTACTGATCCTTCTACTAAAAGGAAAAAATTCTTCCTACCTACCCTCTAATTTTAGACACCTTAATCAGATCCCTCCCTCACCTTTCTCTGCTCTAAGAAAAACAACCAGCAGCCTATTTGGTCTGTCTTCATAGCTGAAATGTCTGAGCTCAAACAATGAGTTCACACGCACGAATCATGGAAAATGGAAGGACAATTTGGTAAAGCCACGAGAAGAAATGTAATATAGGATATTGGCTTTAAGATAAAGGCACAGTACTAAAGCAAGAAAATTATTGCAAACCTCTTATAAGTTGCTACCCTGTCCAATTCTGGGAATCATTCTTTAGGAAGGTGCCAAGCTCTCGAAAAGGGTGTAGCCGAGATTTAACAGAATGATACCAGGGATGAGGGAATAAAACATTAGTTTTGTTCCCATTAGAGAGAGATTAATACTGGGAAATTATGAAAGATTTTGATATAGTAAATACAGAGAAACTAAAAGGTGCACTCTGGTTACCAATCTGGCTTTCAAAGACAAAGTGGTAAATAAAAATTGCCAGGATAGAAGATTAGCAGATTTTGTTTTAATAACAGCAAATGTGTGTAGATTTGGAATCTGCTCCCCAAATTTGTGGTGGAAACAGTGTGAATTGTAACTGAAGGTAATTGGACCCAAACTTGAAAGGAAATCAGTAAAATGAGCTCTGAGGGAAGAGTTGGGCTGTGCGCAATTTAGGCAGCTCTTTATGGAAGTGGGTAAGGTATGATTTGTTAAATGGCCTGCTTTTCCCTTTAGTTAGGTATGGAAATGCGGCAGAGGTGGTCATCTTCCACGTCACATCTAATCCAGTTTCCCCTCAATAGGCTGACAATCTACCCTCAAGGTCAAAAATCACACAACACCAAGTTATAGATCAACAGGTTTATTTTAAGACACCAGCATTCGCAGTCTCACTCCTTCCTCAGGTGTCAGGGAAAGGAGGAGTGAGACTGCGAAAGCTTCTGTCTTCACATCACCTCCACATCAAAACTGCGTTTGCTTTGACAAATTGCGTTGCGTAATAGCAAAGAATCGATCAAGTCTTCTGCCAAGGTACAGATTATAATAGTTTTCAGAGCTGCCCCGCGCCCTGATCAAAACCCTGCAAATAAACTTACTTCGCTGTATAGAAACCATACCCACTAATACCCTTGGTTTGCATTGTTAAAACACGAATAACATAAATCTTAATTTGCCCTGTACCCCTTTTGTAAAAATGTTTAATTTTAAATTCATGAGCACCGCACATTTACTATTCGACATTGTTAAAACAGCCAGAGGAGTCCATATGACGCCTTCGCTAAACCAATAATACTTTCGTGGGGAGAGATAGTAGGAACTGCAGATGCTGGAGAATCTGAGATAACAAGGTGTAGAGCTGATACTTCCATGATTCTTCAGAAGGGTCTAGGCCCGAAACGTCAGCCTTCCGGCTCCTCTGATGCTGCTTGGCCTGCTGTGTTCATCCAGCTCTACACCTTGTTATCTCAGATTCACCAGCATCGGTTCCTACTATCTCCATCTCAGTTTGATCGCTAGGTGGCAATGTGTGATAAATCCCACTCCGCCGGCCACTGAAGTGTGCATCAATAATGAGAACATTAACTGGACGGAGAACAGTGAGGGGTTTAGGGGCCGGGTGACATGGTAAAGTGACAGTAAACGGCTGATGAGTCACAGATCTGAAACGTTAACTCCATTTCTCTCTCCGCACAGATGCTATCAGCCCTGCTGCATTTTTTAAAGCAATTTCCTCTCATTTCAGATTTTCAACATCCGCACTGTGTTGCTTTTGCGAAATTAAATCAATTTGCATCGGCTTCAATTTGCCTTTCAGATCTTGTGTCAACTTTCACGTCTTTTCAAACACAAAACCAGCAAAACAGGCTTCATTCTCTTTTCAGTGGAGATTAAAAATCACCACTTTCTCTTCTCTCAAGCCCGCACCCCCTTCTCTTCCTCACACACGCAGCCAACCCAAGTACAAAGCGGTGCTTATCTCACTTGTTGCTCGGAATCTTTGGAAATGACATGCCATTTGCTCGCTGTCCATGGACTGCGCTTCAGAAGTGACACGCTGAACGGGCTGGGTGGTTATTGTTGCCTTTGGTCCTGCAATGAATGTTGGCGTAGTCGCTCCGGTACAACCTGGCTGCTACAGAGCAAACATCCCACCTCTCAATCTCAATAATAAAAGTCGTGGTGCGCGCGTTTGCTGTTTTTATGCTTTCCAATAGCAATACACTGCGGAGTAACTTTCTGCCACCTTCAATTGCCATTACAGACAAACATGTATTTAATGAAAATGACACCCAACAGCCCAACTCTTGACAGTTCGGCCACATTTTTGGGTATATTTCATTAAAGAAAATGAACTTGGAAGCAAGAGTTTATTAGGAACTATGGCGGTCTAACGAATTTCCTTTTGGACTTGCTCCCATTGAGGCGGAAGGCCTGCAGCCCATCTAGAGCAGCCAAACATTCAGACTGGAACCAGTAGGCATTTTACCCACTGTATCCTCTTGGTCAAAGCAACAGAAAGGCAAAATTCAATTGCATCTCATTTGAGACTAGGAAACCGATTCCCTGAAAGTTACCAGTACAGAACAAAGCTTAGACAAAGCCACTCAGGCGGCGTTACTGCGTTCACTCTGTGTAAAGTGTTGTCCAATGTTATTAGTTATATCTCGTCTGTTGTTGTCTATAATTGTATAGTATAGGTCGCTGGAATTGGCTAATATCGACATTTCTAGACTCCAGCAAAAGATTTGATTGACTCAGACTCCACTTATAATGGGCATCAAGATGCTGTATATCTAGCCACTGAAGAATCCGGTGCAATTAGTCTTGCCCTTAAACTGGGACAGCGTTCTGCAACTTAATACATTAAGTGGAGCTTCTCTGGGCTCACATCAATTCATTAAATAATGTTAAAATCAAATCCACAACTCTCTTACATCGGAGAATTAACACAAATTATTTCACAGGAGTTCTGATCTCAGGAACATTACCGGATATTAACCGATAACGTTTGCTGCTTTAATGAGGACAGCTACATTCAAATTGCAGTTTTTTAAATGGAAATGCTCCTAGATTCCACTTCATAATTGTTATGTATTTATACCATAAACATCAAGACGTCTGCTGCAATAACCCATAGTATTTTGTACAGATTTTTTTTAAAAAAAGAGACGGCATTGCAAGTTATCTGGTTCCTAATTGGATCCAGCTCTACCATTCCGGGGTCGGAGCATGGAGGTGAGAACCTAAGAACTGGGAGCAGGAGTAGGCCATCTGGCTCCTCGCGCCTGCCCTGCCATTCAATAAGATCATGGCTGATCTTTTTGAGACTCAGCTCCACTTACCCGCCCGCATACCATAACCCTTCATTCCTTTACTGTTCAAAAATTTATCTAGCCTTGTCTTAAACACATTCAGCGAGGTAGCTTCAACCGCTTCACTGGGCAGGGAATTCCACAGATTCACAACCCTTTGGGTGAAGAAGTTCCTCCTGACCTCAGTCCTACATCTGTTTTCCTTTATTTTGAGGCTATGCCCTCTAGTCCTAGTTTCACCTGCTAGTGGAAACAACCTCCCTGGCTCCACCTTATGTTTCTATAAGATCTCCGCTCATTCTTCTGAATTCCAATGAGTATAATCCCAGCCTACTCAGTCTGTCCTCATAATCCAACCCTCTCAACCGAGTGAATCTCCTCTGCATCACCCCCCCCCCCCGCCCCCCCACCCCCCCCCATCCCTTCTCAAGTAACGAGACCAAAACTGCACACAGTACTCCAGGTGTGGCCTCACCAGGACCCTATACAGCTGCAGCATAGTCTCCCTGTTTTTAAACTCCATCCCTCTAGCAAAGATAGAGACTAAACCGGATGAAGTGGTAAAGTTGCAGTGGGCCATTTGAACAGTCATCAATCAGCACTGAGCCCATTTATGCTCTATCTCTCAGGGTGAGATGTTAAACATGTTGAAAACCCATATTGGTTATTAGCAGCTAACTTATGAAATAATATTTATAGAAAATACAGAAATTGAAACGTTTTGACTCCATGTGGTGTGTCCTACACTGTCTTGGCACCTATTTTTTTTTCCCCTTGCTTCTTTTGCGTTGGATTTGACCTAAACGTTAAAGGAACGAACTGCCAGCAACACCCGGGTTCATGTCCACCAAACGCAATTGGATGTGATTGGATGGGGATCATGCAGTCTCACCTCTGCCTGGTAATGAGGTTAATGTAGTGCCTCAATGCGGAGTAGTATTTAGCCAAGTCCTCAGCAGGAGCACCTTCTCCGGGGTTGTCCGGCTTGGACGGGTAAGCCTCGGCAAAAGTTCCTATGCAGATCAGCAAGCAAAATGCAAAGGTGGACACTCCCAGCCAAAACTTCATGTTGCCCTGCATCTGGAAGGAATAAAAGTAGACTAAGCAGAGCATTTTCCAGACAAGCTACCATTTCTGATACACGGACATAAAAAAATTCATTCAGTTCTTAAGCTGGAGAGAAATGTAACGGTTGACACTCCCCAGCGTTACAAAACATTGCCCAAAGTGCTGCCGCTTACCAGAACAATCACTGTAGGGGTCTTTCACAGACACGCAGTGACACAAGTCGCTATGTGCAGAGAAATTAAAAACAAATTCAGATTGCCTGCTCATAGCGATTAGAGCAATTCTCCCAAAACGCATCTACACACAAGCTAGCCCCCATTTTTAACATTCTGCATTGCAGCTGATAACGCAGTGGGGTTTATTTTCATTTTCGCTCGATGTCAGTTATGCTCTATTCATTAACCTTTGGCTAAGCTGTTTGATATCGATGCAAGAAACTTTTTTGTTGTGTAACGTTCACTGCTACGTAAGATAAAAGATTTATTTAAACAGTTTGAAAATCACCAAGCGACTCATTTATTTTAAGTTGCATCCAGCCATCCAAAATCACAAACTAGATCGATTTACACCAATGTTTTCTTGTAGAATATTTTCCACATATACCATACGCAATCTATACATTACACAAAGACTCTGCCCCGGTTAGACAATTCGATTTGGTGTTACTCCTGCTCCAGGTTCATGTTACTCACGTTTCAGGTCAGCAGACGGTCGGAGGAAGCTGTTGGGAACCAGACAAGGAGCTGTCGCTGTTCTCTGTGCGTCTCTGGCTGGTCGCCGTCTTTTTGAGTCTGAGAAGCTATTGACAAGTCATGCTTTTTATGTGTTCTCTTGGTGGAATTGAGGGAGGTTCCTGGTCACGCTTAATTGACCAGAATTCGTTATCACATTCCTGCAAAGGCGAAACGACGTCAGCAGCGGCGGTACAGGAGCCCTGTCACTAACGTGCTGATGTATGACTGATAACAGTGATTGCTTCCCTCCAACTCAAAGGAAACTTTCTGTCCTATCTACCGTGACCTCTTCCTCCTTTAATATCCCAAGGGAGAATTCGCGGTACAATCGCATTTAAAGGAAACTTTAACAATTCTCAGTTATTATCTATTAATAACTGCACTTAGGCTGCAAGCCTTCTCTTGCCTTAGACTGAGATAAGACTAAATTGCTTCGTGGCTGACGCTGTATATTTTGCTGGTCTGTGTATAAAACATAAAACCATTCATCTGGGAGCTCACAGCCCCTGCAATATGTCCAGTGTAAGTTTCTAAATGATTTGTACGTATTTCTCTACATTTCTACACCCTGTTGTATTCTGCTTTTATGTTTCACGATTGTCAGGAACACCGATTTTCATAAAACATATAACGGGTGCATGTTTAAAACGAACCGATCCTTATAACAATTTGTTTAATAATGTTTCTGATTTGTGGGCCACTGCAAATTGCTCTACTGAAGGACCTTTAACCCTTCAATCAGTTCAAAATATTCAAATATATACCAGAAGATCTTTGAAAATAAATAAATCCTTGAAGTAGTTCGAGACCCTCGGAAGAGCCCCAGCACTGTACTTACAGTCTAGGAAGTTGTATTCTGTTGGTCTAAATACGAGAAGTGCAGTTCTCTTATTGGTAAAATAACCTTTTTGGTTGGATTTTCAAACTGCCTTATTTTTAAAACTTATTTACATAGACAATCAATTTTTTTTCAATTTAAATGAAAAGGAGGATGCACTGCAGTTCTCCCAAGAAGTGGCTTTGGCTAATTGTGAGGGCGCTTTGAATATTGTGAGAGTTTTGTGCACACGGCTGGTGTGTGTGCGTGTGTTGGGGGAGGGGGGGCGGGGGTGTGAGGATAGCGGGGGAACGGCGTGGTGGGGGCTGGTGGTGGAGATCTGGAAGGTCCAAATGCTGCTGCAGGTATCACTGTTAACCCAAGCTCCGGGAGGGGAAATCCCGATACACACAATGGGTACAAAATTCAAGATCAAGAAGCACGTCAGAAAATGTGCTTCCCAATCTCATGCCAGTGAGCTCAAACCTCCACTGAGCAAGCCTGCCGCTCCTATTGTTTTCCGGCGGGAAGCAAGGGGTCCGCAGAGATTAGTTATATTTTAAACATTTAACCATGCAGGATCCTTTCAAAGACACCGACAATCTAACTTATTGCCCTATCCTTCATTTTCTCGGAGGCTTTTGCTTCTTTAAACTGAATACCTAAAGTACTCGACTGATGACAAATATTCGTGCTCACGGGTGACAAAGGTGCAAGGCTTTTGGAGCACAGCCATTCAGTGTTGAGAATGCACTGGCCACCAGTCTTCGTTACAAATAAAGGCAGATAAAATTCTTACTTCGTCTGCTTACTGCATATTTGAGGGGGAGGTGGTGCAGCATTTGCTGTTCCTGCTTCACTCCATAATATAAATGTCATAAATGGCTGAGCAGTGAGATGTGCTTCTACACTCTCCAGACTTTCTTTAGTAACAGCGGGCGAATTACAGAGAGAGGAAAACACTGAACTGGGTAATGTAGACGTAATTGCTAAGTTCAGCAATTCATGTCAAAACACGTCAGTCAGTCAGGACCCTGAAGTGGGATGTACACCTCGGAATAAAGTATGGTTCTTACTGACGATGAGTGACACATTCAGACATCATTATTTTAAAGAGATGGCATTTTAAAATGCACCTTGCAGTGTTAAAACGTTAACTGACGATCATGTCAGGCGCCAGTTTTCAATATTCGAAAGAGAGAAGGGCAATTCGGAAACAAACGGGCTGAAGGGATGAAAGTAGAAACATGTTAGCATCTTTTGCAACTCTTCTCTCAAATACACTTTTGATTGGATCTTCCCACCAAACATGTACATTTAAGAATGTATACTGTATAATGTATACTGCATTTAGCAGCTCACGGGCTAATATCGAGGAGCCCAAATCCTTGGATCACAGCACATTTAGAGCGAAAGATGGGACATATAGAATATTCTCTCCAGCACGAGAGTCTGAGAGGGGCAATAATCAAGGTTATTAAAACAATTAATAGGATTGAAAGAGTGGTTAGAAAAGACTATGACCTCTGGTTGGGGAGTTAGCAGGAAGAGATCGTAAATTGAAAATTGGCACCCAAAGAAAGAGGTTCGGAGAGAGTTCTCAACACAGAGAGAATGTGTGAACGAACTGATGCCTTATTCGCGGGAATCTCTTGCAGGTATGGAAGGAATGCTAATGGACGTTTGACACACAAGGCGAGTGTGGTATTAGGTTAGTTTGAGATTATTCTCGGCAAAAAAAACGCTGACAAGCAACATGAAATGGACTTCTGTACTAAAAACAAAGACCTTCTGTTTTTTTTATCTGGCATTCGGAGGTAAATTTAAAATATTCCCAAGTGATAGTAACGATGAGGAAAATGGAAAGTGCAACCTTGAAGCCTAACTTTTGACGGAGGTTTCAAGGAAATCGTATCTTTTTCAATCGCTGTATGGTCCAGAGGCCGGAGAAACGATGCGGAACACACTGACCCGTGTCCCTTCTGCCCGGGGAATTTGAATCCCGATTCCGCAATTCCTTGGGACTCCGTGAAAGAAGTCTCTAACTGAGGTAGAAAATTCCACAGGACTGAGCTAGATAATTACACAGGATATCCTCCTCGCACTGCTGGATATCTAGTTTAGAACTGACAGTCACTCACACCGACCATCAACTTCTGCCTCGAACCTCCAGCTACTTCCAGACCCCTGACTGTACCCCCAGAGCCACCGACTGCCCCCAGCCTGACCAACTCTCATATCCTAACTTAGCCCAAACCTACTGGACTATAACCTGACCCACCGTCCACTCAGCCCCTAACCAACACCACCTACCTCATCCATCTACCCTCCTGCAATCCTACTCTCATCTGCTACCATTGCAGACAGGCAATGCACAGCCTGGAAATGTGGTGGAGGCAGTTTTAATATAAAGGGGCATTGGATGATTATTTGGACAGGAATGATGTTCAGGGATATGGAAAAGGCAGCAGATTGACACTAGGTAACAGAGACGGACTGGATCATAGAGCTGGCGCAGGCACAATGGGCCAAATGGCCACTTAATGTGCCGGCATTGTTCTGCAATTCTATGATAACCACCACCACTCTACCCCCCAACCATCTCACCCCCCCACCACCTCACCCCCCACTATACCCAGCCACCGCTGTACCAACCACCTCACCTGCCACTATACCCACCCACCACCTGTCATCCTACCCACTGACCTCATCCATTTACTCACCCTCTTTTCCCCCACTCCCGGCCATTCACTCATCCATTTTCCATCATTCACTTTGAGCATTTAAACTCCCCATAAGCAGCTAATGCTGTAAAAAGGGTGAGCCTTGTCTCCTCCTATCCTACTTTGCTATGGTGGAGTTCTCCACTGGACTGTTCACTTTGCATTTCTGAAGAAGTCGGCATTGGGTGATCCAGCCAAATATTCACAGTAGTGTCTGGGCACAGAAAACTAGAAGCAGACCTGTAAAGGTCATTTCTGCTTCCTGAAAGATCCAATCTAGTAAACAAGACCTTAAATTGACCTTTTAAAATAATGTTTCACTTTTGTCTGTCTTTTCTCCCCTCCCTTGCTCTCTTGCATGTTTTTTTAAGATTACTTTCATTTAGCCCTGTGTGAAGTGGACACCTCAAATGTCAAATTGATCACTTATCAACACTTGTGATTGAGGGGTGGTCCAGCAAAATCACTGATTGACTATAGTAACTGCCTTTGAGCAAGATAAAGAAGGTTGATTGGAGCAGATGGCCTGGGTCCAAGTCCCACCTTGTCCAGGGGTGGGTAATAACACGTCTGAACAGGTTGAATGGGGGGAAAGGTTGGTAGGCTTTGTTGCCCCAAAAACAGCGCTACCTGCAAGGCCTGCATTTGCTACTTGTAATATAAAGAGGTATCACAATTTAATGAAAGCAGGTATTTATGTAGCATGTTTATTGTAACAAAATCTTCACACACACTGCATTGGAGTATAATCAAAGAAAATTTAATAGAGCAACATAAGTTGATAAGCCCATACCACCCCACCCAGATGCATTCCTCATAACCCACACTACAGTAATTTAACATGGCTAATCCACCTACCCTGCACATCTTTGGACTGTGGGAGGAAACCAGAACTCCCTGAGGAAACCCACGGAGAAATGTGCAAACTCTGCATAGATAGTCACCCAAGGGTGGAATTGAACCTGACTCCCTGGTGCTGTGAGGCAGCAGTGCTAACCAGTGAGCCACTGTGCCACTGTTTTAGGTAAAGAATATTAGAACTTAGGGCTTAGGCAGCAAAAGCCACAGCAATTATTGGTGACATGATTAACTTTGATGAATTGAGGAGCACAGAGACCTTCGTGAGTGTTGGGTTGGAGGATAGGGAGATGAGAGGCTAAGTGGAATTTGAAAACAGTGATGAGGAACCAGGAGTACAGTTGTACAGCTGTAGTGAGGTGTACGATGGGTGGAAGGGTCTAAGCGTGAGTTCAGATATAAGCATCAGTGTTTTAGATATATCTCAACCTGGAACTTTTGCCTGATCTCAATGTTTTCACAATAGTCATCCTGCTTGTGCTTCGTTGCTACCTTATCATGTTAACTCTCTCCTTGGCACTTCATCGCCAACTCACTTGAAAGAAAATACTGATGAATCATTCTTTGGGAAGCACCTGGTAGCATGATTCAGCATAGAAGGAGGCTATTTGGTTCATTGTACCTGTGCTGAAAACTCAAAACTCTAATATTTGTGTGATTTCTCTATCCAAACTTTCTTAGCAGCCAAAT